GTGGCCGAGGTCGGTCCCGACGCCTACGCCGCGCGCAGGGCCACGCGCGCGCTGGCCGACGCGCGCATCGCGGCGCCCCTACGCTTCTTCCACGCCGTCAGTGCGCCCTCGTTCCAGGCGCTGCCCGACCACCTGCGCGAGCACGGGTACCGCAACAAGACGCCCGCCGGCTCGTCGGCGCTGCACAAGGGTTTGGCTGCCGAGGGGGGCCTCTTCCCGTGGCTCAAGGAGCATCCCGAGGTGGCGGTCGATTTCCAGAGCCTGATGGGGGTATGCATGCTTACTCGTTGTGTTCTTCGCTTGAATTCCCACGTTTTTTTGCTCCTGAATCACCCACTGACAAAGCGATTGGTTGTAACAGGTTCCCAAGGAAAGCAACGGCTTGGACGTTGTCCCGCTGGGCGATTCCCTCGCCGCCACCCACACAGGCCCGATTCTAGTAGATATTGGCGGCAATACGGGCCAGCAGGCCGCGCGGTTGGTGGCTAAGCACCCCGAGCTGGCTGGCAAGGTGGTAGTGCAGGATCGTGACGAAACCATAAGCAGAGCCCCAGCCGTCAAGGGGGTGCAGCTGATGGCACACGACTTTTTCCAGCCGCAACCCGTCAAGGGTGAGTGGACAAAGTGTGCTTTTTTTGCAAACCCGCCAGAATGCTAACCAAAACCCCCCCGAAACTCGACAACACAGGTGCCAAATACTACTACCTCCGGGCGATCCTGCACAACTGGGGCGATGACGAGGCGGTGCGGATCCTCTCCTCCATCGTGCCGGCCCTGGCCGCCGGTGGCGGCTCGCAGGTGCTGATCGACGAGGTCGTGCTGCCCGAGGAGAAGTCGCACGTCTGGCCCGCGGGGCTCGACCTGCAGATGCTGGCCCTGTTCGGCGCCGGCGAGCGCACCGCGCCGCAGTGGGACGCCCTGCTGGACCGCGCGGGCCTGCGCGCCGTCCGCGTCCAGACGTACGCGCCCGTTTACCGGGGCTGCGTCATTTTTGCCGAGCGCAAGGACTGAAAGAGGCGGCTGTGGTTTCTAATGTGTTCTTATTCCTGGTTTTCGAAAGTCATGTCTCGGGAAATCTACGTAAATCTACAGACCCAAACAAAATGGAAGACGCAAGGGCTCTTCTTCTTGGCCCTTGGCGTTGATGCCTTTATGGAACAAGTCACGGGCCGGCTAAGAGATCCGCCGTCGTCTCCTGGTGCAGCGACAGCAGCCCCGTGAGCTCGTGCCTGGCCGTTTCGAGCTGCGTGGCGAGGAACGAGTCCTTGCCCAGGTGTAGCCCGCGCTGTAGAACCGAAAAGTTCGAGCTACTGCTACTGCTACCGCCTGCGGCTTCTACGCCACTCCACCACCCAAACTCGGGCTGTGCCGCCACCGCCGCCCGCGGGGCCGCCGGGGGTGGCGGTCTTAAAATCTCTCCCATGACGTCCTCCAGCTCCTGCAGCCTGCAGCCGACGACGCGACTCACGATCGCGGCCTCCATCATGACGTCCTCTATCTGGTGGCTGCCGATGCTCAGCGGCGCACGTCGCAGCTCGTCGTTTGTTCTGTGGTGGTGGTGGTGGTGATGGCGCTGCTGCTTGAGTCCCTCCCCGCCGTGATACGAGCTGATGACGCGCCGGTACCCGGCAATCACCTCGGCAAAGGCGACGGCCAGCAGCAGCTGCAGCTGGGGGCCGGCGCGGCACGTCGGACAGTCGAGCAGGCGGCGCGCCAGCCCCGCCGCCTCACGCGCGGCCGAAAGCACCGAATCCACAGAAGACGTCGTAGGAATGCCATCGTCGCCAGTTGTTGCTGTTGCTGTTGGCGGTGTTGTCGTTGTCGAGGTAGTAGTGGACCGGTGGTGTGACCAAGAAGACGACGACGAAGCGGACGATTGGCGACGTTGCTGCTGCTGCTGCTGCTGCTGCTGATGTTCGTGGCTCCCCATCAAGCACAGCGGCGAGTTGCCGCACCGGCGCATCAACCCCACGATACCGATGGCGATGCTGGTGCAGGAGCCACCCCGGGGCCCTTGGGCGTTCCTGCATGCCGCCACAGGGCCTTGCTGCTCTACAACAGTAGGAAGGGAAGCGGCCTGGGATGGCGGCGTGACGGCAGCACGCTCTTGTGCGGGGGGCCCCAAGTGGCAGGGCGCCGTCGCCGCCGCCACGGGGAGTGGGCAGGAAAGGTCTGGGTGGGAGGAGAGCGATCCCAGGGCCGTGGCTGCCCACATTTCGTCGTCGTCCGGCCACTCGGATGACATATCGGCATCCGCGTGGTCGACGATGTCGGTCGCCGCCGCCGCCAGGGAGTCACCATAAAGCTGTAGCAGAAGGTCTCTCGTGCCATCATGGCCGGTGGAGTTTGGCATGGTGATTTCGTCGGCGGCGGGCGGCGAATTACGAGGGGCCGAGTGTTGTGGCCTGCCGAGAGTGGTATCCTCGCCAAGGTGTGATAAAGGCACATGCGCCTTGTCACTATGCATGTGGCTCGAACATGTAATAAACGAATGGGCAAGAGGCACTATTCGGGGAGCGCGCCCCCCCCCCCCTCCGGACCCAGTAGCCGGGCAAATAAAAAAGTCAACGGTAGGGCCTGAGAGGCCATGATACGAGGCCTAAGCGACAACCTCATATGAGGGGGTCCATCAACCAACAACGCGCAGATAAGACGGAGATGCGGTAGGACCGAGTGCGGCACCAACCGCGGGCAGCCTCCACATTGGCTTATGTGAGACTGTGGATAGACCAGTGCAGCGTGTATTTTAACCGGCTTGAAAGCGAGAGCTTACGTTGGACTAGAGTGCGGAGACGATGAGCGCTGCAATCCTTCTTTTCGTTCAGCTGGGGCAAAAGATAGACGTTACCCCGCTCGAGCTGATGTCTAGGTGCACTGCAGCGTGCGAGATGACGGGGTGACATGGTCGGTATGCATGTGGGCTGGGGTTAGAAAGGCGATAATACGTCCCGACAAGGGATTCCGGCAGCTTCCGTCAGGGCCAAGGCCGTGGGGAGGCGACAAAGATGGCGCCATATGAGAGTCGACGTGGCCTCGATGCGGCAAGGGAGGCGGCCGGCTCAATCCTGCCAAGGCTTTTTGTCCACCACCACCAAGACTGTTATGGATCCATCGCCGTCCTCGTCGTCGTCGTGCCGGTCTGCCCCGTCGAGCGCTTCCGGCTCCACGCCCCTGCAGAAGAAGTTCAAGGACACGTGCGATGTCTGCTCGGCCTTCAAGATACGCTGCGACAAGAGCCGTCCGTCCTGCGGGCGGTGCGCGAACCTCGGCCAGGCATGCTCGTACAGCCCGGCCCGGCGGGCTGGCCGCCCGCGCAGGATACGACCGCAGCAGCAACAGCAACAGAAACAACAACAGCAGCAGTCGCATGGGGAAGGTGTCGTCTCATCATTCTTGGACAACTACCACGTCGGTTCCGCCACGGGACAGACCGATTTCGACTGGAGCAGCAGCTACGACTGGGCCATAGAGTCGTTGTTGGGCGAAGCGAATCCAGCAGCCGCCGCCATAATTGCTGCTTCTTCTCAAACGCCCCTACCCCTGGCGGCAGACCACCACAGCAGCAGCACCATAGACTTCACAAACGCCAGCCGGCATTTTATCGGAGAGCAGCAACTGCGGCCGCCAGCTGTCGACGACCTTTGCGCTGCGCCCCGAGAGAATAGTCCAGCAACAGCAGGCGCGTTATTAACAGGCCACAGCGACGACTGCGCCCGGACGGCAGCGTCCATCGTCGAGCAGCTGGACCCAGGCCGCGATGCCGCTGGCGCCGCCGCCTGCCGAGGTATTGCAGCTCCGCCAGCCGACGGGTCCTCCGGCAGCAGTGCCCTCGGCAACATCACCACTACCGCCTGCCGGCGCCTGTTGACTATCCTGGTGTGCCCCTGCTCGGAGCAGCCGGCCGTGGTCCTGCTCGTGGCGTCGGCGTGCATCGCGCTCATGGACGCTGTGCTCCACCACCACCCTTATTCGGACCAGGGCGAGTTCGAGGTCCTGGCAAGAATCGCAAAGGTCGTACTGCGCTTCACTCAGAGATATGCGCAGGACGGGGGAGAAGAGGGAGGGGGAGGAGCAACGCGGCATTTGTTGGTGGAACCCATCGTAATCTTGCTGCGGTCCAAACTGCAGTTCGTCACCGAGAAAGCCACGAATAGACTAGTTCTGTGATTCTAGCATTCTAAGCTACGTACTGGCATAGTTCCATGTCCTGTTAAGTTATAACTCGAAGCAAAAACAATAGCAAGTAGACCGTAAACATTTTTCCTACCATCGCCTGGAGCCCGGCCTCAGCTTCCCATAACACTAACTTGTACTTCTAGTGACCTCCAAGAGCATGGCCGCCGACGTAACGCGGGAATCCCGAGAAGCTCAGCCACAGCTCGCTGGTGAAGGGCGAGGTGCCGACAATCTCCTTCTCGCGACTCTTGAGCTCGTCGACGTCCCAGGCAGAGAAGACGAGCTTGCCGTTGAGGAACTTGGCCTCTGGTGACACAACCCAGACCAGGAAATCGGCGGGGAGGGAGACTTGGAACATAATGTCAGCTTGGCTCGAAACAATAATACGGGGGAATAAATCTTACTGTCGTCGAAGCCAAACGGCAGCTTGGTAGTTTTGGCCAGCTGGGTGGACATGGCAGTGTCCAGAAATCCCGGGTGTACGTGGACGATGTGGACGGAACGGTTTTCGGCGCCAAAGGACTGCAGCAGCTTGACAGCGGCCATTTTGGAGCTGACGTAGGCGCCCATGCCAGGGAAGGGCGGGAACAGAATTCCGGCTGTGGTGAGGTTGACCAGGGTCGCCTCCTTCTCCCCGTTGGCCAGCACCAGCGCCTGCGCCAGACACAGCGTGCCGACCACCGTCGTCTTGTAGCCGTCCATGAACGTGGCCGGGTCGGCGTCCATCAGCGGCACCACGGGCGCCAGCACGCCGGCCGCGTGGACCACGACGTTGATGCAGCCATGCGAGGCCGCGACGCCGGCCAGGACGCGGCGCAGCGTGCTGCTGTCGACCAGGTCCACGGGGTGCGTCTCGACCGCCACCGAGCCGTGCTTGGAGCGGACGAGACCCGCGACCTCGGCCAGGGCGTCCTGGCGGCGGCCGAGCAGCACGAGGGCCTTGGGGCCCGAGGCGGCGAACGACAGGGCCGTCGCGCGTCCGATGCCGCCCGTGGCGCCCGTGATCACCACGACCTTGCCGGCGGACGAGAGCGCGGGTCGGGTCGGGTCGATGGCCGCGTAGGTGGCCGAGTGCGCCACCTTGGTGTATGAGGGCTGTGGTGCGGCCATGGTTGCTACTGTTTGTTTCTTCTGGCGTCGAGAGCAGCTGTTTGCCCGTTTTGGGATGGAGTCCTGCGGGTAGGAAAAGGTGGGAGTGGGCGCGATTGCTGCCGTCTTTTTTATTTGTTCTTGTTTGCTTATCTCAACTCTGCTGCTCGGAAATATCGGACGCCTCCCACAAGAGCCGAGCTTGTCCTTTGACTCCCTTCCTCCTTCCTCCCTTGCGTTCAGCGAGCGCGCCCCTTCCTCCCTTGCATATGGGAACCGGTCGATATTGGACCAATCGGTGGATTGCGCTTCGATGCGTCAGTGGGTTCCAAATCCATATCTACCTCTCATTGGCTCCTTGTTTCGATAATTGGCTTCGCCTGCCTTCCGTTGATGTCGTTGGTACCGACTGTGCATAAGTTGCCGAGCATCCCTGGCAACACATCGCTTGCCTGCAGTCATGCTCACCCACCCACACTTGCTCTACCCCTCCATCTTCAGCCAAAAGGAATTGGCGAATCGACAAAGATTGTCGGTTTCCGACGCGTGACAACCATCCCACGCACGACTGCGCCATGAGGCCGCCAAGAAGGAAGAATACGATCCCACAGGCCGTCGTGGAATCTAATTCGCCCCCCTCGGAACCGAACAGATCATCTCCTTTTGGTATCCCACCCCCTCGGCCTTGCCTGCATGTCCCTCAGCCCTAACTTTCCACCCGCTCGGGATCCCGGGTTGCTCCGGCTTGGCTGATAGCGCGATCCAGCCCCATCAAATTCTCAGCCCTTTGAGCCTCGAGCAAGGCAGAAAATAGCACATGCCCCAGCCCCTATTGGAAGGAAGCTGCCTTGAGCTGAAAGCGGATCCATCAAAGAACCAGCACCCCAAAAGGGGCTGATCTCAGGTCCTTTCTCGCTTGTCCAATCTCATCAGATACGCAGGTACGCTTGCCGCGAGGCGCAAGCTGGCGCCTGATCAACGAATGAGGGCCCAACAGCGGCGAGTCCTGGTCCTCGAGCCCTCTCGTAACACGTGTGGCGCGGCCCGCCACAGCTCGGCTACGATTCCAGCCGCGCCCCTTCATCCTTACACATGACAGCTAGAGACGCCCTGGCACTGGACGATGCTTGGAGGATTATCCCTCGTGTCTAGCCCATCCGTTTTGGGGGTGGCTCAAGATCTTCTGCCCGCCGCGCCGCCCCTGTTCATGACTCCTAGCCGACACGTCAACCTCTGGGTGTTCAGAGGGATTTTGATCGCTGCCTAGGACAACAGGAGTCTCGGTGTTCAGCTCTCGGGCCTTCGCAGGGGCTAGTTCGGTGTGAGGACATGGAAAGGGTGCCAGATCCGAGGGATGTCAGAAGGCATTCTCACGCGCGGCCTCCAAGGATAGGTAGGAACATATCTGAAGAGCCTAGGATAGATATCTATATAAGGCGGCATGGGCTTGGCGAGGTTGAGGTTTTTTTCCCAGACTATCCAGCTCAATTCCAAAAAGATACACACTGCTATTCCACGCACAAAGCTTTCGTATCAGTTTTACCCATGTATAAACTATTCTGGAGCGCCCTCGCGGCGACGGCGACGGCCCTGCCCAGCGCCGTCTCCGCCACCAGCAAGAACACCACGTGCCAGGTGGTGGCCGCGGAGATGCCGGGGAGGGTCATCTTCCCCTCGGACGACGCGTACAGCGCAAGCCAGGGGTCGTATTTCGCCGGCCAGGCGCGCGACATGAAGCCCGGCTGCATCTTCATGCCGACGACGACGGACGAGGTCAGCCGGTTCGTCAGGACCGTGGGCGCGCGGACGGGGCCCGACGCCAAGTTTGCGGTGCGCGGCGGCGGCCACACGCTGTGGAAGGGCGCGGCCAACATCGACAACGGCATCACCGTCGACATGCGACACATGAGCGGCGTCGTGCTCAGCGCCGACGGCTCCGTCGCCAGCCTCGGCCCGGGCGGCCGCTTCGGCGACGTCTACCACAGCCTCAAGCCGCACAACCTGACGGTGATGGGCGGCCGCGTGCCGTCCATCGGCGTCGGCGGCTTCCTGACCAGCGGCGGCATGACCTTCTTGTCGCGGCGGCACGGCTTCGCCTGCGACAGCGTGCTCGGCTACGAGATCGTGCTGGCCAGCGGCGAGGTGCTCGGCAACGTCACGCAGGCCTCGCACCCGGACCTGTGGCTGGCGCTCAAGGGCGGGATCAACAACTTTGGCATCGTCACGCGCTTCGACGTGGCCACGTACCCGTCGGACAGCATGTGGTACGACGTGGTGCGGTACAACTACAGCGAGGGGGTGCTCAAGGCCCAGGCTCGCGAGTTCAGCCGCTTCATGAGCCCAGGCGCATCCTTCGACCCGGACGCCATGATGGGTATCTTCCTCGACTACGCCGGCGGCAACTTCTTCGTCCGGGACACCCTGTGGCACACGGGCGGCGTCGCCAACCCGCCCGTCTACAAGCCCTTCAGGGACATCCCCAACCTCGGGGGCTCGGGCAAGCTCCTTGCTGTTGCTGACGTCGTGGACACCTTCGGCGCAGACATCCCTGCATCTACCTCTCGGTAAGTTCAGAATACAAACAAACATGCCCCTTGTTTCAACAAACCTTGGTTCCTCTTTCTAACATTGCTTTTGCTTCCTCCCCTTATAGCGCGTTCCAGCTCGACTGGTCCTTTGTCAACCCGCCCGCCGAGGTGTACATGGAGCTGTTCAAGATCTGGGAGGACGGGGTCAAGACACTCTCGGACGTCGAGGGCTTCTTTGTCGAGTTCCTGACGCAGCCGCAGTCGGTGGTGGCAAAGGGCACGCCGAGCCTGTTCGGGCTCGAGCCCGGCCGCACCGACAACGCCATGATGCTGATGACGGCGGGCTACGCCAGCGCGGCCGACGACGAGCGCGTGCGCGTTGGCATCCTCGGGATTGTGCGCGCCCAGCGCGGCCTGCTCCGCCGCAAGGGATACCTGCTCGACTTTATCTACGCTAACTACGCCGACAAGTCCCAGGGGGTCTACGAGAGCTGGGGCGCCGACAGTGTCACCAAGCTGCAGGCTGCCAGCCGCAAGTACGACCCCCAGGGCGTCTTCCAGAAGAGGGTCCCTGGAGGTCTCAAGGTTTTCTGAAAGATCTACTGGGTGTCCTTTTTACGCTACATTTATTTAATCCCTGTAGACCATTTCTTTCCTCTTCATTTGTAATGCGCGGCATAATTTCTTTGTCATAAGTCGTGGCACCCCCTATTCGATTGCCTTTGATGAGGGAAGGCTAGGGGGCATCGACATGGGAACTTGTACTAGAATCTAATAAAAAACCAAAAAAAAACCCGATTTGGGCATGGCACTCGGCAACGGGACCAGCAAAAAAACACAAATCAATTTCTAGAAAAATCTCCAGCTCATTGGACAGCACCAAAATCTGAAAAAGCCCCCCGGGTATGGCTAACACCTAGGAAATCATTGGTTATGGCCTCTGGAAAACCATTGGTTATGGCCTAATCCTGGAAAACCATTGGGCATGGCCAAGCCCTGGAAAACCACTGGGTATGGTTAAATCCTGGAAAGCAAGATGGGTGCCCGACTGCTCCAATGCGTCTGCAGCCGGGTAGCCCCCAAAGTGTCGGTCGCCTCGCGACAGGCGAACTAAACAGAAACTCCGACATTGGAGGGAAACGGGCGCCCCCTCCCTCCCAGCCCACCGAGCTGCTGCATACAAGTACCTACGCCGCTCTCCTGCCTGACAAACAAACCACCCCTCTTCTCCAGTACCCAGCATCCCAAGCCGACTTCCATCGCACATACATCCCAAAATCGAGCCTATTCTGCCCAGCCGCGCACATCACCATGTCTTCCCAAAAAGAAAGCAGCAGCAAGCAGGCGTGGAGAAACAACAGAACGAGGATTCTCGCCTTGGCCGAAAGTCATACCGTAAAAGACGTCGAAAAGATCATGTGGGATGAGCACCGGTTCAAGGCAAAGTAAGGCCCCTCGCAAGGTATGCTGCCGAAATCTAGTTAGCCGAACTGACATATTTCTTCCAATAGCCAGAACCAGTACGAGTATCACCTACGCATCTGGGGTTTCCAGAAGAACGTCGACACCAAGCAGTGGAGAAAAATTCTTGAGGTCTACGACGACCTCGTTGTCCAACATGGGGAGGTCCGGGTTTTGGTCCGTGGAGAGGCATTGTCCTCGACCGCACTGCAAAAGAGACGCCGCATGTACGCCTCCCAACAACGCGGCTCCTCGACCAACGCTGGTAAGACACTCCCACAGTCAATAAACGCGTCCATTCCCATCAACCTTCCAATCTTAAAGGAGAATCTGTACTAAACTACTGGAAGCGGCTCCAGTGTCAATCCCACAGATCGTTTCTTTCCAAGCGCGCGGGTCCGATGGACAATGGACCTCCGTCGCCGAGAGTGGGCCTTCCCAAGAAGCCGGAGCTCATGCCGGCCTTGCTCCTCAACCCGGGCCCATACCGCCACGCACCTCCTTGGCCGTGTATCGCCTGGCCGCGTCGGATGACAACCTTGACCCGAGCCAGCAGCCAAGCGAGATTCCGCTGTCCCAGGCACCCGGAGAAGACGCGGTCACAACAACCGACCAATCCCACACCATCTACGCCAACGACGGTTCGCTGGTGGAACTAGGCCAACTGTCACACACCCCACACGCCGGTCCCTCAACTTCCGCCAGCGCAGCCCTCGAACTATTGGAATCGCCGGGGACATGCGCATCCAGCCCTCGCACGCCGTGGCTGCGGCGCGAAAGGCGAAATATCATCGTCAGGAGGGAACATGAACGTCTGCGCTCCCCGTGCCCTCAGTCCGCGCACGAGTTTCTAGCCACCCTGCTTGAGGGCGTGTTTTCCTCGATTGAGAACGGGCTGCGGAGAAGCCAAATCTTCCAAACGTTCAACCTGGGGGGAGTCTCCCCCACCGGGCTCCACCGGGGCTGTCTAACATTTGCCCCGGATGCCCTCTTGCAGCCACTGCAGACCCTGCTACCAGAAACCAGACTCGGATACATTGATGGAGACTACTCGCTCAACGTCCGCCTTTTCAGACGACTGGTGTTCGCTCTGGCGAACGCAGACATAGGTCCCAATAGTGCCGATGAAGAGCAAATCGTCCACGCCATCGGGCGTTCGGCGGGCGGCGCCGCACTTTTCAGCCAGCTATTGGCAAATACCCGAGGAGGGTATGGTCTGGCCATTGCGGAAAGCCTGCTGAAGTCGGCCATACGTGCCAAGAACGCCGATGCGGTTCGAATGATCACTACGATGAGCGCGGTCGACATTACCAAAATTCGCTTCGAAGGAGGATACAATGCATTACAACTGGCTATATTCTCGTCAGATCCCGCTCTTCTCATCGCAGTCCTGTCGAGTGGATATGACTATGATGCCATATCAAGAACGCACATACCCTACTGGGGCAAGTTTTCAAACTCTGAAGAGATGGCTTCTGTTATCATGCGGCTCATGCCCAAATCAAGCTCCATGTGGTCTCGGGAGATGGCACAACTTTTCAGAAATAATCCACACCTGGCATATCGGGTCATCATGAGAATGTCACCAGACAGAGCAGTGCAGTGGGTTCGTTCTGCTACTCCAGATCGATATAATGACCCTCCGTTAAATCCATTCTTTCTTGACCTTGGCGAGGCGCAAGTCGCGGACCTTGTATCTCACCTTATGCAAGGATACAGCACCCAGACCACAAGAGGCCGGTATCAGGACGTCATCCCAGTCAGGTCAATTTACATTTCCGCAAAGCGAGGTCACACCAAAGTACTTCAACGGCTTCTTCCTTGGGCACCTCTCTGCCTCCTCCTGGGAGCCTCTATCCGATCTGGCGACAGAGGTCTGGCCGCTTCCATCCTGTCACAGCAGTCTGAAATGGAAGATCTATCGCCAGGCTCTAACGGCTGTGGGCCCTGGTGTGGTAACTGCTATCACCCCCTCGCTGAGGCGATACTATCTCGAAACGATGAGCTCATTCGTCTCATAGAAGAAGCACGGCCATCGCGGACTCTTCGCAACCCGAAGCATGTCCTAGAGGTTCTCCACGCGGCAGCGGCAGTTGGCCATGAAAAATACTTTCGGAAGCTCATACACCGGGAGCCTCCTCCGTCGACGGAGGACCTTTATCGTATGCTGATGAAGGCAATCGAGGGTGGTCACGGAAACATGAACATATGCCTCCGCCTTTTGGAGTTGGGTGCTGCTACCCACGGACTTACAGTCATGGATCGCGACAAGCCTGGAGCTTTGTCCGCAGCACTCCGAAGTCAAAATCGACAAATGGTGGATGCAATACTGGAGCATGGTTGCCACATCGGCCAGTTCACAAGTCTCCAGTCAGATGCTGCCCTATGGAAGAGCCTTATCGAACGGGGAGACTTCGACCTCATTATTAAACTCAAGTCGGCATTTCCACCTCTGATGCTCGATCCAAGTGTATTCGCTGCCTCAGCGGGCCCCCTCCCATTCTGGCAGGGGGGACCACCGGACATGAGTGGCGAAGAAGTTGTGCAATTCCTGGCAGACAATGGCCTCGTGGACAAGCACTGGCTACGTATTGCTTTGAAAACCGCAATTAGGCACAAGAAAGAAAAGTTTGCGCACTTGGCGATCGCGTTAGGAGCCGATCCCGTCGACGACAGCGTGTTAGCAACCGCGACGCATTGGTTCCCGCAATTCTTGCCTGAGCTTCTTGAACAAGTTCCAAAGGCAGTGCTGGAGTATCGAGCAAAGTTCCAAAAATGGTGCGCCCAGCCGGCAATCAACGAGGCCATCTACCAAGGGCCGCCAGGCTTACCCGCGCTCAAGTGTTTATTGGATTCAGGAATTGCATCCATCCACAACAAGCAAGACATCTCCAATTACTTTGGGCATGCCATCACAAAATCCAAGGAAGCTGGCAAGGTTGACCTCACCACCGTACTGTTTTTCCTTGATCTCGGCTGCAGCCCGGACTCGAGTGTTTACATGACCCATTCATCAGAACCAATTACAGCCCTAGCACTAGCAATCAGGGAGCGGAACGTGGCCCTTGTTGAACTACTAGTTGATAGGGGTGCCACTGTAAACACGGCGCTTAATACTGTCATCCTCTTCACACCGCTTCAAGAGGCCGCTGCAGCTGGCAGCCTCGACATCGTCAAGCTGCTCCTGTCCAAGGGCGCCGACGTGAATGCAGCACCAGCCAGCCGCGCCGGAGGAACTGCCCTTCAGATGGCCGCCATTTCCGGAAACTGCAGCGTCATATCCGAGCTTCTCGAAGCGGGCGCGGACATCTACATGCAGCCCTCGCGGTTCGAAGGAAGATGGCCCCTCGAGGGTGCGGCAGAGCACGGGCGGATCAGCGCCATCGAGTTTCTATGGAAATGGCGCAGGGGCTGCTTCGATCCTAGGTATTGCGAGCGGGCTATGGAGCTTGCCGAGCGAGAAGGACACATGGGGTGTCGACAACTGATTCAGGAGCTTCGGGGGGAGACGATGCGGGATGAGGCTGAGAACTGGATGGCCCAAGAGAGTGCTGGGTTTGGTCCGGAGGATTTTTCACCTTGATGTTGTAAGAAGGGTTGTATTGCAGAATTTTCCTTTTTTAGTTTTCTTTTCTTGTCTCACTTTCTCTTGCTTTACTCCGTCTCTTTCCTTCTAGGCACCGCTTTATCCATCTCTGCGATATCCCTACATTAGACGTTATTACATACAGCCTGTTTCCCACCAAGGTAACAACACGGCAAACAGCTGTCACCATAGTACTCGAAGAATTGCTTTTCAACGCGGCACCGGGGCCGCCAGGGGAGAGCCGGTATGAATAAGGACACTGGTGATAGGATCCGGTTGGGTCAAAGAAAATGATAGGATCCGGTTGGGTCAAAGAAAATGATATTGTTGTGGAGGTCTTCTCTCGACAGGATACCATGACCTCAAATCACTTCCCCTTCTCATCCCCTCGTCACCATACTCCTCCTGTCTCCCCGATCCTTGCTCCTGCCCACCTTTCCTTCGGCTTTGGCACATCTTCCGGAGCCGTCGTGCAACCTGAACAAGGATACAGAGCAAGGCGAAGAGCGGCAGAAGGATAGATAAGCGAGGTGTGTCGCAAAGGAGCTGGGCCCCGAATAGGGGCCATGAGACCGGCACGCACTATATGCTTGCGAGCCACTCTTCGACAGCATACCAAAGCCCAGGGACAAAAGAGAATGCGAGGTAAATGAGTGCAAGCTCAGGGGATGTGTAGAGAATGAAAAGAAGGGAAAACAAAAGGAAAAAGATTGGCGAGGGGCCTTCGACTTACATTTCGCAATGTGTGGCAGCAGAGCGGACGAAGAGAAAAAGTGAAAGAACAGAAAAGAAAAAGAAGAAATAATTGGCGAGGGCACTTCGTCTTCCATCGCGCAAGTTTTGGAAGTAGAGTGTGCTTAGAGGTGGGCGGTCGAGGGAACCGATAAGGCTGATGATCTCAGACCGTGAGCTCAGGGTAGAGGGTTTCTCACTGTCTCTCCAGCTTTACCTTGTTGGACCTCGGGTCTGGGAGCCGACGTACATATGCTTGGAGTCCCAACCGTTTCTCTCGCAACATCCTTCAATGCGATTTACGTGAGCTGGAAGGGCTAAACCTAAGATTACAGGGACCCAATCAAAGCACAGGTCGTGCGATGGTGTTGAGTTGTCTTTGGGCGTAGTCTTTGTGTTGCGTTTGACGGTCCTTTGTCATGATAGCATAATGCAATCGCAGTATCTTTTCCCCCCGAGACGGTCCATTGCTTTGTCCTTCACTCAAAGACTCGCTCATTTTTGGAACAAAGACGTTCTAGAGATACTATTAAAGATCTACTCTCGGGTGCAATCTGCCTCACCTTGATGATGTTCCAGGTATCAGCTTTCTGCACATTCATCCATACGCTTCGATATTATCACCGTCCCATTCGACTTCTTGCATAACACCGAACGTTACACCGGGCCAAAATGGTTAAAAAAACGAATGCCTCGCAGCGCATAATGGACGCCAATGAGGTCGTTTCCAAGGTTGAAGCCTGGCAGCGGGCCCTTGGCTACACGTTTTCCGACTGGCACAACGGTGCTGCCAGCCTCAACATTGGCGAGGTAAAAATCTCGCATTCCAGACATGGCAAGGCCATTTCGCACGCCAAAAAGTTCCAGAACGTCTATGAAGACGGCAGAAAATGCGTGGTCGACCATCTTATGGGCGAGCACGATATCATCCCAGGCCCCGGCCAGTTGCTCTATCATGGTATGTGGCCTTTCCATGACCCCATCCTCTAAACCCCTGTGTCAAATGCAGGCCGTACTAACCACGCGGGGCTCTCTAGGTCTCGACCGCGCAGGCGCGCAGACCATCATGCCTTCGCCCAAAATCTTCGCCACGGCCGCCAGGGGCCTGGGCATCGACGGCGCCATCTTGTTGGGCGGCAAGAACGCCAGAGACGACAAGGTCGTTGCGTCGGTCGTGGTGGCCATGCTGGGCGTGGTGGCGCTGAAAGGCGGCAAACAGCAGCTTGCCGAGGCCCTGGGCAGGCTGGGACTGTATCACGGCATGAGCGCGACCGAGAGGGAGACAGCTCGCATTCTTTGGAAGGGTCTGGATAGGGTTTTGTGAGAAACGGTTAGAAAAGGCTGGCCCTTGTTATGGATGTACCGCGCTTCAATGTCATCAAGATCTCGTGTGATAATTACCCTGCATATCAATGACGTCTTTGTGCAGCGCCTTGGTTCAATTCCATATACATTTTGATCCTTCTGGCCGCAGCTGGGGGCGCGCTGAGATGCCCTCGATTGCCCGCGCATCCTTTGTGGTGTATAATTGGCTGCAAGGCAAGCGCCAAGTGGCTCCAGCATCTTGTAGGATCGTGTAGGCAGACTGCCCACCCAGATTGCATATCCCCTTTTGTGTCGCCAAGAGCCGAACAGGCAGGGACGGGGGCGGTTTGCGAGGAGCTGGAGGCTGTGTCTCGGGCCGCTCCCAGCGCCACTTTGGGGACCGCATCAAAAGGGCGCTCGCTTCCCTTGTTCCTTGAGATACATTTGTTCTATCAGATCGCCGCGCCGTTCGTCCTACATGCTGCCTGACGAAGTGAGTGCATTGGATCGGTTTCTGTAAAACTTGGAGATGTCGGTTCGAGGGAATGCGCGGGCTTGCTTAATTGCGGTGCTCTGCGCGACATCAACCGTTTTCGATGTTGCCCAATGCCAAAGCAGCGTTATCGAGCCATGGCGCTTGCATCCATCCGGTATGTCATTGACGCCTCGGCCAGTTAAGGTCACCTTTCCCGCGATAGGACTAACCAGACAATGAGCCACTGAGCGGACAGCGGTCGTACTTGGGGAAACACTGTACATAATGGGGGGCTGGACAAGCGAAAACAAAGCCATCGCGGGATCGACCTGGACATCAGGTTAGTGCAGATCCTTGGACCCGCTCACTGCACCAGTCTCGCGCGACTCTCTTCGGCGTGCTGACAGGTGGTTCGCCGGCTCAACTAGAACAAAGAGCCGTGGCATTGCCTCTCAACAGCCGTTGGGACCTTGCGGCAATGCGTCCATCCGATACCACTGGATTCACGGCAACCGAGCGGCTGGCCGTATGGCCAGGTTTAGACAACCAGACCATCCTCAGCTGGGGAGGCATGGATATACCGACCAGAATATGGGGGAAGCTCCCGGCTGACAATAAAAGCTTCGCCGCCGAGCCCCGTCTCCGAGTCTTCAGGCCAGAATCGCGTGGGAGCTCCAGGGGAAGCTGGACATCGGCATCCAGCACACCACCCACGGATTCCGAGTCCGCACAGCGCATCCACCGCACCCGATTCGGCGCCTGGGCCAGCTGCAACGGCTTCGGCTTCCACATAGGTGGGCAGGTCCGGGTCGACACCGACTCGACCTACCCGGGCGTTGGGCAAAATAAGCAAGCGTTTCCCCCAGGGCTCATCATATACGACATGAAGCGAAACCAGTGGACCAACCGCACCGCCACCGGCTTTGGCACCGCGGGATACGGGGGGACTTATATGCATGGACAAGCAGTATGTTTGCCCACACTTGGGACAAATGGGCAGGGGTTGGTGGTATTTATCGGCGGGTATCACTGCTCGACAGACAGCTCCAAGGCGGGCGCGAGCTGCGAGCCTCGCGACGGCTCCGGGAAGGAAGTCGACATGGACAAGATCGCATTCTACGACATCGGGACAGGCAAGTTCCACTCGCAACGAACGACGGGCCCCAGCCCGACGCCGCGCGAGAGGCACTGCGCGGTCGCCGCCAAGGCCGACGGGACACACGCCTACGAGATTGTCGTCTTTGGCGGGAGGCGGCAGAGCCCGGCTGAGACGTTCGTGCTGACCGTGCCGGGGTTCCGCTGGTTCCGCGCCGCGGACGCCGCGGGGACGCGGGTGGCCAGGGCGGACCACTCGTGCGCCGTGCTCGGGGCCGCCGGGGCGCGCCAGATGGTCGCCGTGGGCGGCGTGGACGAGACGGACCTCGAGGCCCTGCAGCACCCGGACCCCTGGGTGCTGTCGAAGCACATGCGGATCCTGGACATGACGGAGCTCAAGTGGGACGGCACGTACAGGCCCGACGCCCCGAGGTATCAGCAGCCCGGCCTTGTCAAGGAGTGGTACTCTAAAGCGACGTGAGTTCTTCCCCCCGCAATCGGGCCCTGGGCTTCGAGATGGGGTGCTGCCCCCAGCTAACAAGATTTAACGCGCAGAAACCTGGACGACATCAAGTGGGACAGCGCAGATACCCAAGCTCTTTTCGCAACCGCCATCAACGACATCAAAGCCAGCACAAGCTCCACTTCGGTCCCCGAGACCGCGCCGGCGCCCGAGGCCGAGCCGAGCGGGCCACCCGTTGGAGTCATCGTGGGGGCCACCATTGGAATTCTCGCGGCGGGCTGGCTACTCGCGACGTGCCTTTGGTGCTTTTGTCGTCACAAATCGTGGCCTCAGCAACAGAGCCCCATTCTGGGACAGCACGCCACCAGAACGACAAAGACCCAGCCGTCGGCTGCTCCCCAAGAGATGCCGGCGCCCCCGCCAGAGCTGTACGAGGAAAGCTACGCGACCAGACGACCGCAGGAGCTGCGCGACCCCAGACCTCCACAGGAACTGTATGGGGGCCCAAAGTGGCGGTAGGGTAGGTGGCCTCCTAGGGCTGTGGGGGGTCTCTGTACATGCGACCAAGCTTCTGCTACCATGGAGCATTGAAACTTATCCTCGATAATATAAGATCCAGCGGTAAATAATCTTGCCCGAAACAAATTAGCAGCCCTTTTCAACCACCACGCACCGTCAACTCTCGTGTGTCACAAGGAATGGATCCCCGCCTAGGGCCTGCTAGACCGTGCTGGACTCAAACCCCCGATACTCGTTAAAGACGCCAGGCCGGCCTCTCCGATGCCGACTAGTACTCGGTAGAGTAGCTACAGGCACTATTATATAGAGCCCGAGGGTTTCCCATTACGTTTCTGGCTGTTAAAGCAAAGGGATGCGAAGCAACCAGTATACTTTTCACGCTGGCGCTCTGCAATAGATAGCGGATGGTATCGCAAAGGAGTGTGTACAGTCATACACTACCTATTTGGAGGAAAGCGACAGCGTGTAAAGTAAACTGGTTGCCTGATATTCCTTTACTTCAACGGTTAGGAAACGTAGTAAGGGCGGAAAACTCTCGGGCTTTATTTACCATTGCTCAGTAGCTACCTACTTTAGCGAGCATCGGCCTCCCGCCGAGGCTGCAGCCCAAGGTCTCTAACGAGCATCGAGGCCCCAAGGCCGACACGGTCTCGTAAATCCTAGAGCGAGGTCTACTTCCCTTGCGGCAATATCTCCTTCATGATCGTGAGGCCCCTCTGACCGTTGGAGATGGTTCTCCCGACCAGCGAGCTCGTGGCGTTCCGCGACAGGCTCAACACCCGGTCACCATACTCGTCCTCATACTCGCGCAGGTTGACCCCAACGCTCGCATGTACAAAGATGTTGGCGAAATCTGTTGGGCACGCCTGTCAATAATCCGCACTGCCGTTTGCAGCTTGCTAATGCTGCGGTGTAGGGTGGACAACATCATGAATGGCATGTACGTACCGCGGCGGTGATGCTCGGGCTCCCACGCATCCACCACCTGCCCGTCTTTGAGCTTGAACTCCCACGGCGCGTCATCCAAGGCGGCGCCGTGCGGGCAATATGCGCTAGCGAAGGCGGTTGTCAGTATTAGGGTTACAGGTTTGCCGGGAAAGTAGCAAGATTGGGCTCACATCCCAGCGTAGTTGCGAATAGCAACCTCGAACAGGTCACCATCCGACATGTTGTAGTTATAAAACCTGTTCAGCAAAACAGCGACCGCTATTCCGCCCAGCGTGTCGCCAGCGAGGCCAGATGATGTGTCAGCCATGATTTCCTACAGCCCTCCAGAACCAAGAGCAGCGTCACAGAGGGGAAGAGAGTCGGAACCAAGCTTATCCGCCAGAGTCACGCAGCGCAGCACGGCGCCCTCCCCACCCTGGCGCGTGCTGGCGGGCGGGTACTGGTTGGTGTGCATGACGCGCTCGTGGCGCGGGTTGCGGGCGAGGTCGCTGTCGTTGCAGAGGCCCAGCTCGGCGCCCGAGCGCCGGCCGCGCGCCAGCCAGCCCTCGGAGTGGGCGTCGTAGGCAAGCACGTCGGGGACCAGGTGCATCTTGGCGGCGTAGCACGCGCTCTCGCAGCCGTCGAGCGTCTCGGCGCAGTCCCAGTCCAAGACGGCGGGCCACGTGGCGTTGGCGGCCGCGCCGGCGGCCAGGACGGCGCAGGCGGCCGCGAGGGGGTGCATTTGCTGGTTGGCTGTCGCGTTTACGTGGCGGGTGTTTTGATGGTGCCTATATGAGTATGGCACTCGCCTTTTCACAGTAAGGAGTGTCCGACCACGAGGCCCTTACTGTCATAGGGAAGGTAATTGGGAGAAGGGGACTCTCGTTCGGGCTTATATGCATGTCTCGATGCTGAATGTCTCGAGTAGGATGTGAGGCGGTAACGTTAGTCTTGGCAGCAGAGGCGGACCCCATCGCCGGCAGATCTTCTCAAGATGCACCTTGTACCAGTCGAGGGTCTCGATTGGCGGACAAGATGGCAGAGATCGGAGTACCCGGACCGGCGAAGCAGCACAAATGCCATCCTACGTCACATCAGGGGCCCAAAAAGACCATTAAGTTCCTCTGGGCGTCTCACAGCTCCAATCCGTGCCAATGCGCGGGGAGATGGCGCGAAAACGTCCTCCTCCAAGCCTTAACACAACGTTCCTCAACGACCAACGGCAGTTGCCAGCCATCATCAGCCCACGATCGAGACACCAGACGACAAGAAACGAACACCCACCATGGCAGCCACCGCCCCCGACCCAGACCAAAAGTATACCACCGCCCCTCCCAGCCCCAAAGCAGCATCAATCATCCTGATCCCCGGCGCTCGCCACAGCCAGCGCGCCCGACGCCGTGCGCGGGTGGGCGCACCACGCCGACGTGGCCGCCGCCCTGGACCCGCTGCTGGACTCCGCCGTGCGCGACGTCGTGCTGGGGGCGCACAGCTACGCCGGCTTCGTGACGCACGAGGCCGCCGCCGCGGGGAGGACGGCCGACGAGCGGCGCGCGCTAGGGCTACGGGGCGGCGACGACAAGGCCATCGTGTACCTGCAGGCGATCGCGGTGGCGGAGGGGAGGGCATGTCGGGTCACCATGGGGCTGTCCGGCGGCACGGGGAGGCTGCCGCCGTGGTATGAGGATCAGGTATGTCGGCCGGTGTTTTCAGTGGGAGAGCGATAACCAGTTTTTTTTTTTAGTTTTTTCGACACGGCGATTTTCAAGGACGGACTCGGCGTGACCAAGGACCAATACTGGTCCATCTTTTACGGCAACGTGGACGACAAGATGGCCAAGGACTTATTTGCCGCGACGAGCCGCCACCACAGCATGGCCTGCTTCTGATCCGAGTGCGTGAGGGCCCGGGTCGTGTACGTGGTGAGCGAGAAGGACCTTTGCCTCCTGCCAGAGGTGCAGCACCGGCTCGCCGACGCGCTGGGGCCGCGGTGCGAGAAGATCAGCCTAGAGAATGCGTGCAACGCACCCTAGCTCGAGGCGGAGGGGTTGCCCAAGGTGGTGGACATCCCGCGAGAGGTCGCCGACGCTTGACGGGCAGCGTTGTAAACCGTTTGGAATTTTGATAGTATGGGTATCTCTCCCCTTCCGTGTACGACGGGGGGGTATTGGGTATTAAACAGCTAGGGAAATACAAAGGAGATTTGGCGTCGGCCAACAATCACCAATCACAACAAAGAAGCGTTGCTCGAACCGTCATGTCCGTCGTCGGCCAATTAGCCCAAGAAAGGCAAGGCTTCCCCCTTCTTCCCCCCCCTTCTTCCCCCCCTTCTTCAGCGAAACGTCCTCAGCTGCTCCACCTCCTCGACCTCGTGCGCGAACTTGCGGTAGAACTGCATGATGCCGTGGGCGCGGTGGTAGGCCACGAGGCGCGGGTACTTGCGCGTGACGATGCGCTCGCGCTCCTCGTCGCCGGCGCCCCTCCCCCTCCCGTCGGGCCGCTCGCGCAGCGCGGCCGCGACCTCGCCCTCGGGCGAGCGCAGGCGGAGCAGGTACCGCCTCGAGCCCTCGGTCATGGCGCTGTGGGACGGGCGGGACTGGCCGACGCGGTGGTGCGCGTGCTCGCGCATGTAGTCGAGGCGGCGCGCAAACGCCGCGCGGCCGGGCCCCTCGAGGACCAGGTCGGCGAAGACGCGGGCCTCGGCCGAGCCCTCGTCCAGCATCAGCAGCACCGTGTCCAGGTCCACGTCGGCGGCCGCCTCCTCCGGGCTGGGCAGGTCCTGGATGACGTAGTAGGGACAGCCCGGACGCGGCGTGAGGAGGCGCTCGGTGCTGGGTAGGGGGTAGTGGGGGTGGTGGTACTGTTGCGAGGAGGAGGCGATGCTGCTGGTGTCGAGCGACGACGAGTCGCTAGAATCCGAACACCACCACATGGCGAAGGGGTCGGGCGGCGGTTGTTGTTAACCATAAGCGGTATGGTATGGGCGAACAGAGCCCGGGTGGGCGACTGCAGTGTATGTATTCGTCTTGGGTTGCTTTAGATTTAGTGTGGCCGCTCGGGAGCGCTTAGGTTCCGCTGGTATTATTGTTGTTTTTGCCTTCTGCATGTGCGGGAACCATCATCGTACCAGACATTCTCAAGCCATGTCCAGTTGGTAAGGTGACGGCATGCCTCCAGGGTTCGGCGCCGTGGTGGCGTCGGCAGGGTCCCGACTGGCGCTAACACCAAAGACAAAAAGGAAATCATGTGGCAACCCTTGGCCAGGTGTGCTAGAAGGCCCCAGACCGCGGCCTTTTCGGGCTTTTTACCCATCACGCCATCCCATGCCCTGGCAACCGCTCGACGACGCTATTGGGCGGCCTTGGTTCAAGGCCGGCAGGTCTTGACTGGTTTGACTGGATGACACCCCTGTGTAGCGCCAACCCAAATTATTTTTCTTTCACCCGCGACATGCGGGCGCCTCTTTGTCCGACAACGGGTAAGACTCGGCTCTAGTCTCGGCTGATCCTCCCTTCGTTTTCCTACTTGGTGCGAAAAGGGAGTAGTACGTATCCAACATTCCTGCTCGGAGGAGCATGTTCTCTGGCCAGTCGGAGAATGAAGCAATCCTCGACGGTTTGCAGAACGTTGCGCTTGCGGGGAGGTTGCGTCGACCAGCTCCTGCGATCCTGCCCATAAAATTACACAATATAGGCGAAACATAATTCAAGTAGATATAGGGGGCCCGACCATAGGAAGTGCCGCCCGAGGAGGAGCGCGATGGAATGGCGACCAATATCACGGATGCTGTACCGAGAGCACAAGCCTTTTCCGACGCCCCGCTCTGGGCTGTTCTGGGTATAAAGGTGGTTATTTTGTAATGAGATGCACGCCAGCTGTCGAGTGTGCAGCGATATGCAGGCAGTAGCCAGGCATATATGCATAGCGTATGCACATGCACGTCCAGCCTGACTTTGGCCGAAAATCCGAGCCAGGGTGGGCCAGGATATCGCGTCGACCCAGCCCTTGGCCGTGTTCGATGATCTAAAGAACGACACCTTCTGTCAACACGACATGGCATTGGCAGCAGACGAGGCGACGGTCGGACCGCCTGGGCCAGGCCCTTCACCGTCAGCGGTCAGTACTCTAGGATGACTCTCGGACGCCTTCCGCTCAATCTCAGTGCGGTGGACGAGTCACATGTTGACAGCATCGCGCAGGAGAGTTGGAGTAGATGATGATGAGGCGTTCGGCTTGGATAGAGCTAGAAGTGGGTAGTGTTATCGAAGCTTTCGCCTACCAGTTCGGATCCCTAGATGGACGAATGGTGGGAAGTGACAAACACGAGACTGGACCAAGCTCGCTCGCTAAACAGGGGCTGTTAGGTAAGCGAAGCCCTGAAGCGGGGCGCGGGGCAGCTGTCAGGAGCTCAGCGACGTCACTCATTTCAGTGAGGAAGCTTCAACCAAACGAACCTTAAAGACGCCAAACAAACACCATCACGTCAATAGGATAAAAAAGTAGCACAAAACAAACCAAAGCAAACAACAATCCCACCATGTCACACCACTGCCACGACGAGCACGGCGACGACGACCACCACCACCACCACCACGCCGGCGGCGCCGAGCACGACCACTCGGACGACATCACGCCGGCGCTGCAGAACTCGCTCCTGGGCCGCATCGACTTCGACCACGTCATCACGCTCAACGAGGCCGAGCACGGCTCCGGCGCCGCCGTGGCCCGCAAGGACTGGGCCGCGCGCCTGGACCCGACCCCGGAGCTGGCCAGCGACGCCGACGAGCAGCTGCTGATGCACGTGCCCTTCACGGGCCAGGTCAAGCTGCACTCTGTTCTGCTGCGCACGTCCGACTCGGCCGCGGCGCCCCGGACGCTGCGCCTGTTCGTCAACCCGCCCGAGACGTTCGACTTCTCGTCGGCCGAGGAGGACCGCGAGCCCGCGCAGGAGCTCGAGCTGAGCAGGACGTCCGAGGTGCAGGAGCTGCCGGTCAAGCGGGCCAAGTTCGCCCAGGTCGCGCGCCTGGCCCTCTTCTTCCCGGACAACTTTGGCGACGGCGACGAGGACGTGACGCGTATTAGCTACATCGGTTTCAAGGGTGAGTGGATGCAGCTGGGCCGCGCGCCCGCAAATATCCTCTACGAGTCGGCCGCGAACCCCAGCGACCACGCCCTCAAGGGCACGAGCGTGAACCAGATGGACAGCAGCGGCATCGGAGGCCGGGGTCCGGGCGTCTAGCCGAGCTGCTCGTGACGGATCGGCAGGGATTTTTGTTGCCTTGCCAATTTGGCTTTGTTTGATGATACCCTTTTTCGCTGCGCGATCCAGCACCTACGTTCACGTGTATTATTATTACCCTCGGCCATACGAATAACGAGACGAAAAGAGATGGGCGATAAACTATGCATGTTTCTCATAGTACAGTCGACTTCTTTTGCTCTTTTGGCGAGCGGTGACTCATATCTGTCCTAGTCTGAAAAAGGCTAGTCTAGAGCACAACATCTACCCAGGACCAGAGGAATCACATGAGCTCGTGCCCCTTTCGCGTCGGACTGCATAGTAATCAAGTCCGCTGCGCGTCTCCTAACCCGTGCGCTACCTCCTTTTTTCAGGCAGCAATGGGAGCCGGCGTGCCACTAGAGAGTGGCTGCCTATGACAATGCTACCAGAGAACGCCACCTTTCCTGCGGGGTAGTTGGCGACGCCTTCAGACATGGTGGGCTGAGACGGGCCAGCTGTCAGACTAAAGTGGTCAAAAGCCGGCCGACACTAGCTCAAGGACCGAGAATCCAGGTGTAGCATATAAAGAACCCGTCTGGCCCCAACTCTCTAGACATTCTAGCATCCAGCACCCATCATCCGATTGGAAAACACAATCTCACAACAACCGTCCAGATCAGTCCTAAACCATATCCTTTCTCAACCATGCCTCGCTACATCATCATCGTCAAGGCACCCGAAGCCAACACCGACGGCTGCGCCATCGCCAGCAAGGCCGACATGTTCGAGTCCATCGGCAAGTTCAACGCCGAGCTGGTCGCCGCCGGCGCCATGCTGGGCGGCGAGGGCCTGCGCCCGTCGGCCAATGAAGGCTACCGTGTGCACTTTCAGGGGTCCGGGGGTGCCGAGCCCAGGGTGGAAAAGGGCCCGTTCCCGTCCGAGAACCGTACGTCTTGCCGCTTTCACTCCCGCAGCTACATCAAAGTTCCCCAACAGCTAACGGCTGAAAGCAGTCATGTCCGGGTGGTGGATCATCAAGGCCAAGGACGGTGAGGAGGCACTCGGGTGGGCCAAGAAGATACCCTTCACCGAAGGCCACGTCGAGCTCCGGCGCATCTCCGAGATGGACGACTTTGACGGCGTCATGACGGCGGAGCAGAAGGAGAGGGAGCTGAAGCTGTGCGCCGATATGAAGGCCCAGCTGCAGAAGTAGCATTGGTGGCATTTTCATGTAGAATCAAGGCAGTTTGGACAGAATGTAGGTGCTCCTGGAGCCTCGCCCGAGTAGAAACCCCCTGGCGCGGACTATGATGGCCCAAAGTTGTTCTTGCAGCAGACGGCAGAGATCGACGGGACCAAAAGGCCTCATCAACCTCGCCAGTCCCATAGATGATTTACCAAAGGCCTCCTTCAGAGTCCTGGCACAAGACGCGCCAAGACAAAAAGGCCCCCAGCGAGGCTGAGGACTCGAGGTGTGCGATTCCGAGGAAAGCGCCAGAGTGGCCGGCATGGGTGCGCTGCGTGTTTTTGCAGAGGGGGGAAAAGAGGAACAAGGAGACTGCTGATCGACAGAACAATGTGTGCTCAGCCGATACCACCTACCAGGTGCCAACCATCGGCATAGCAGCGCTTTTACACAGCCGCGAGGCCAGCGCGCCAAAGTTGAACAGCGATGTCAATGTTGGAAGCGATCATTCATATCTAAAGAATTGATGGGAAGAAAATTCTCGCCAGCAAAGTGGACCATCATTGGATTTTGTACGACAGGGAGGCGCCGCACGGACCAGGCCAAATTGGGCACCCTTGGCGAGCTGGCACGTGCCTGGAAACGGAAGTCGCGTCACATAACCACAGTCACCTAACAGGAGCCTAAGTTATTTTATCAATTGTGCTTTTATTTATCCCCGCCAAATCGATGCTGATCAACGCCGCTCCATTTACCAAATCCCAAAATCATATAGGTTCCGGCCCTTTCTGTCGCTCCATGTGCTTCTTTCAACCAACCACCTTCTCCTTGCACTCGATGCTGTACAAGCACATGATGGTCAGCGGGAGTCACATATAAAAATAACCTAGGACTGCGTAGAGAGGAGAAAAGAACATAGAAAGCCACATACCCGTACTTCTCCTTGAGCTCCTTCATCAGTGGGTCGTTGAGCTTGGAGTTCATGGGAGCGAGCACGCCCTTGTCGGAGATGGTGCCGTCGAGAACAAACTTGACAGCTGTCGAGCATCCAAGCTTGTTAGCACACCTGCACCACAACATGCGACGATTTTTGCTAGACCGTGACTAACCGACACCGCACGGCACGCCGACCAGCTTGGCCATGGCCGAGTAGCCGCCTGAGCCGACGGGGGCGCCGTACTCGCACAGCGTCGACGTGCGCGTCTCCCTGGAGCCGTCCTTGTTCTCGATCTCGAACTTGTGCTGGAGCATCTGACGTGCGGAAAAGGGGCGTGTATCAGTTTCCGTGACGTGTAGAAAGAACAACAGTTACCCGAGGGAGAAGAAGCAAAAAGACTCACAACCAGGTCACGCTCGCCCTCCTCAAATTGCATCTTCTCCTCGAGAGTGGCGCACAGCGTGTCAAGCGGATTGCCCTTGGGGGTGATGTTTGCGTCGGAGAAGACGCCGACTGGGAGTTGTTGAATTAAGTCAGTCTGGGCTTCCTTCTTCTTTCACACAACCTGCTGTCAAAAATATTACTCACGCCACTTGAGGCCTGCCACTATCCTCTTCTGCTCCTCGGCGTCCTCGAACGAGGCCTTGGATACGATGGCGCCGACGATGTCGGCCTCGGACGACGACGAGGCCGCCACGATCTTCTGGGTGGCCTCGCGCCAGGGGATGGCCTCCTTGAGGAACGGCTGCTCGTCGTCGCTGAGGAAGCCGATGTCGACGAGGACCTTGACGAACTGGGGGAAGCCGCCGTACCGGAGGGTCTGGGAGTGTGTCAGAAAGGGGAATCGAGTGGTTTTGGTGAATGTAGGATAAGCAATTCCCAAACTTACACCTCGGACGATAGTCTCGGCCTCGGGGATGTTGTAGCGCTCCTTGTAAGGGGTGGAGTCGCGGTTGGGGTACGCGACAAAGTTGAAGCCTGCCATCTGGGTTAATTATAGATGCGAGAAGATCCGTCGAAGTACCTGGGAAAACTAACCAGGGTAGATGTGGTAGGGCTTGGCAGTAGCCATCAGTTCTGTATTTGCGTGTTTGTCAGCCAGACAACCCTGAGTGTTGGGTATTAGTCACAGTGACAGGCGAGCCTACCGGGACCGGCAACGTTGACGACCTTGCCACCCTGGTAGAAGCTGGCCGCATTCCTCAGGGCCAGGAGGACGCCACGCGAGGACCACGAGAACCTAAAAGGGCGCAACCGATTAGGACACCATCGTATGCCGCGACCCTCGGGGGGGAAACAAAGAGTGAACTGACTTGTAGCCCAAGGGGTTACCCGAGGACTCGGGGGCTGGAAGACCTCCGCAGTAGGACAGGAAGGACAGGATCTTGCCGCCGGCCTTGTGGACGCTTTCGATGGTGGAGATAGCGTAGAGGTGGTCGATACCGGGGTCGAGCTGTGTGTTTGAGTCAACTTGGTGCCTCCTTGCGGCTTTAAGCCAAAAAGAAAAGGAAAAGGGAAACCAAGAGGAAACCCAAAAGGAAAAGGAAAAGGAAAAAAAGGGGGAAGGGCAAAAAATCTTACGCCAATCTCATTCATGACGGTGATTCTAGCGTCCTTAGCCGCCTGGTCGAGTTCGAGCATGGCGGGCGAGACGTAGCTGGTGGTGACGACATGCTTCTTCTTGCGGATGGCCGACTTGATGACGGCGGCGTGGAAGGTGTAGGGGATCAGGCTGATGACCAGGTCGTGCTTGGCCACCTCGGCGTCGAGGGCCGCGTCGTCAGTCACGTCGAGCGAAATGGCCGTGGAGAGCTTGACGCCAGCCGACAGCTTCTTGGCCGACTCGAGCGTCCTGCAAGCTGTGTTTTTTTTTGGTTGGTAGTGTCAGCCACCAAGGGTGTGTGTGGTGTCGCCATCTGCCGTCGGGAGCTCGACGGATTGCTTACCGACTGTCACCTTGATGCCGGCATCAGAGAGGACGTCGAGCGTGGGCCTGGTCACGAAGCCAGAGCCCCTAAAGGACTGTTGTCAGCAAAGAAACCAAGGTGAGCGAGCACACGGGTCGGGGAGGGCCTTGGACCACACTCACAGCATGAGCACGCTTTGCGAAGCCATTTTGGAGAATGTCGTCGCGGGTATTGGGTCGTCTTGTTGCTTTGAGATGTCTCTGCTCGCGGCTTTGTTTTCGCAGGCAGCCTGGTGGGGTGGCTTGAAGTTTTGATATTCATCGAGGGGTAAACGCGACTGGCCGATATCGGCGCCGCGTTTGCTACAAGTCCTTGAGAACCGTATATTGGTGGGTCCCTTGGCGTGTAGGTGGAGGCAGAGACGTCACTGCCGATGCACTGCTTCGGGTGAAATTTTGTGTGTCGAGAGATGTATCGTACCGTTCGCAAACCAAATTAGGAAACCCCATACAAAATCTAACCTTTACAATCATTGGAGGGTGTACCAACACCACCACATTCAACTTGGGCAACAAGCTGTAAGGAAACAAGAAAAAAAAAAAAAAGCAGGATAGGAATAGCTGTTTCCGCCAGAACCCAACGGCCGCCAAGATTATACAACTCGTCAGCCGCTCTACCTAAACCCGCTCTTGTCGCCCTTCTTCTTCTTCCCCCCTCCCGGCCGAGCACCATGCCGGCCGCCGACGGGCTGCGACATGATCATGGCCGCCCTCCCCCCGGCCTGGCTCGCCTGCGTCGGCGCCACCTGTGACGACAGCGCAACCCCACCCGCCGCCACCTGCGTCTGCGCCCGCTTCCCCCCACCCCCACCCCCACCCGTCCGGATGGCTGCCGCCGCCGCCGCGGGCTGGCTGCTGCCGATGCGGCGGTGCGGCCGCCCCGCGGCGTCGGACTGCTGGTCGGCCGAGTCCGGGTCGGCCGACAGGCCCAGGGC